AATCAAGCTGAAATTGGACATTATTTTCAAATAGTTTCAAATAGTGATCATTAAAAAGTTTTTTTTTTTTTTTTTTAAGAGAATAAAAATTCTATAGAGGAAATGACAGCAATTCCCCTGATGTTTTCCATCCAGCTGTATTACTTTTGCTCACTCACCTCTGGATATTTAATTTCAGCACACAAGTAAGCCCCTGGGACATATAAGAGCAGCTGATGGCCTTATATCTATATGACAGCAAGAAACATTGCTTAGCTCGGCCTGCCAACTTAGGAATCCAGTGACAAGCTGAAATTGGACATTATTTTCAAATAGTTTCAAATAGTGATCATTAAAAAGTTTTTTTTTTTTTTTTTTAAGAGAATAGAGATTCTATAGAGGAAATGACAGCAATTCCCCTGATGTTTTCCATCCAGCTGTATTACTTTTGCTCACTCACCTCTGGATATTTAATTTCAGCACACAAGTAAGCCCCTGGGACATATAAGAGCAGCTGATGGCCTTATATCTATATGACAGCAAGAAACATTGCTTAGCTCGGCCTGCCAACTTAGGAATCCAGTGCAGAGAAAAATGGGATGGAATTTCAGGGACTGACATGAAAAAAATAAAAAATATGCAGCAGCGTTTTCCCTAATTAGAAATTATTAGCCTCCTGAAATGATCACATTTTGTACACTTGGCCAATTATCTCTGCTGCATGTAAAATTACACTCGCACCTCCGAAAACACTGATGTACTATGTTGCTGGCTGGCACAGTGGGCTGTGGCGCAGGAGACTATTTTTCCCCCCACTGTCTGCAGTCTTGAAGCAATACTTTAAGCTGACAGGGAGAGACAATGCTAATGTGGCTGCACTTATGTGTGCCAGTGAACGGAGGAGCTGATGCGTTTTAGGCAGCCGCTATGCTTTAAAAGGTATGCATGCATATTCTGAACGGAGACCTATTGGACTGATTCCATGTCAGTGCAAATCTATCTATCTATCTATCTATCTATCTATCTATCTATCTATCTATCTATCTATCTATCTTTATCTTTCTATCTATCTATCTATCTATCTATCTTTATCTTTCTATCAATGTCTCAATCCAACCTTTGTATCTCACTCTTTCTCTCTATAGCTCTCTCCATCTATTCCATGTCTTTCTTTCTTTCTTTCTTTCTTTCTTTCTTTCTTTCTTTCTTTCTTTCCCCATCCATCGCCCATATCTATCTATCTATCTATCTATCATTTTTCTATCAATTTCTCAATCTAACCCATGCCTCACACTTTTTCTCTCTATGGCCCGCTCCATCTATCCAATAACTTTCTTTCTTTCTTTCTTTCTTTCTTTCTTTCTTTCTTTCTTTCTTTCTTTCTTTCCCCATCCATCGCCCATATCTATCTATCTATCTATCTATCTATCTATCTATCTATCTATCTATCTATCTATCTATCTATCTATCTCATTTCTGTCTCCCCATCTCTATCTACCCCAAATCTATGCACCAGCACACATTCATACAATCAAATACTCATAAAGTACATGGAAACTTATATTCATTATGTATTTCTTCAGGTATTATCTGTTACATCCTGCCTGAACTTTACTGAAAATAACACTACTTTATAAACTCCCGAGCCATGGTGGAACTTGCTAACATCAGCCGGCAATTCCGAGGCTGTTCAAAGCATTCTAACAAAATGTGTGCCACCTCATGTGCCTCTATAGCCCAAATGATCCCCGGTCCCAAATGATGCCGGCTTTGCCATATTCTGCACCGAAATCCACAAAACTGCTCAGGTGCAAGAATAATAATGACACATTGACCACGGCGAATAAGGCGGCACAAAGTCAACCAACCAATCAGGTCCGGCATCCCTTCCCTTCACAGCAACCAGAACAATGAATGAGAAGTTCTGGCTGGTTGTTGCCAGTTACTTCACTTTGATTGTACGTTTCTATTATGACAGAAGCCTGTGGAAATCGATGGGGGGGATCACGCATATGATTTTTGTCCTCACATACTCCCAAAAAAAAATAAAGCAATTCCCAAGAGCATTTACTAGGACAAACCTACGTCAAGACAGAGGGCAAAAAATGGATTTTCCGTGGATAGTCAAACTGAAGTGGATTACCAAAGCTAATCAGTCTCCGACAGATGTAAAATTTGCAACACTGGCATGCACAGGATTCAGGGGTTCACATACTTTGGCGTCAGACAACCCCTGACACTCCATGAAGCAATGCCTTGTTACACACACACACACCAAGGATAGTGTGACACATCCACACACATCCACACAACCAACAAACCATGACTGCAGCAGAGCAAACCATTATTTAAGGAGCATCTATCTGCTTGTTAATGTAATATGTGCTTAGGGAAAGGCAGCGGTTGCAGTTTCCTAGGTGAATAATCATCACGCTTGTACTGCACAGAGCAGGGGCTGGTGCAAAAAAACACGGTTTGTTGTGCGCGCTCGGCTTGTGTACTATGAGCATGCCACACTCTCCTTGCACAACATATAAGCACTGCAGCCCCAAGAGGACTCCGCAGATCTAATCGGGCACTGACACAATGAAATGCTCTTTTGCTAAATTAAATAGCCTAGGTATATGAACCAGCAAGGCTGCCATGTAATTTCCTTAAAAGCCGTATCTCTACTGAAGGCTGGCTTGCTGCACTATAAAAAAAAACAAAAAAAACCCACATAAAACACCAGAGCAAGGGGAATTAATAGGCAGTTGTAGAAGACTGTAAGGCAAGGGGATGGGGAGGTTTAGAAATAGTACATTAGTGTTTGACTTATGTGTGTTTTTTTTGTTTTTTTTAATGTTATTTTGCCTTCCAGCCAAAAGGACATACAAGATCTGCAAGAGCGGAGGGTGATATTGTCCTTCATCGTATTACACTAAGTACTGAGCAGGAAGGGAGACACAAAGCAAAAGGGATTGAGATGCTGCTGCAGGCTTCTCATTTAAGAAGCACATTAATTAATTTCAAGTCTTTTAATTAACTCCTTGCACGCCCAACCTGAAGCCTTTTTTTTCAGCAGACCCTCCTACATCCATATTCCCTCAAAGCACCCTTAACTATCATCCCAGCTACTGTACAGTACACTGGTTATTTTTAATCATGGAGTTGCGTGGTATTAACTCCTTGTCTCACGCGCAACACTAAGGTAGGAGGACTTAGATTGAATATTTTCTGATGACACATTTAACCAGCACAACCTGGGGTACCCTAGAGACACCGGCCTTCACAATGCAACATCTATGGCAAGGCTTAAGAAGAACTCCAGCAAAGATAACCTGGTAAGAATGAATAGCTCATTAAAAGGTAAAATAACAGAACCACTTTCAGTCCAGAGATGTTCCCTTACTGCCACTAGATGCCCTCATTCTGATGGCCAGCATTATTCAACCCACTTCCGCTGAGCCCGGGTCACCCTGGATCCGTCCTCAGCCTGTGATTGGACAATGAAAGGAGAAGCAGTGCAGTGTGGAGCTCCCCTCTCTGCCACTTTGCTCTCGCCTCTTATCAACATGATTCTTTTCGGCACAAGAACTGAATAGCTCCTGGAGCCATCCTCAGACTGTGATTGGACGATGAAAGGAGAAGCAGCGCAGTGGTGAGCTCATCTCTCTGCTCTCCCTGCTTATTGACATGCTTCTTTTCAGCACATGAACTGATTAGCTCCTTGCACTGGCATCACAAGGTAGGCTCAGCCTAGTCCGGATGACACCAACGGAGGGGGTTGACACCAAGACAACTTGCAGAAATTTTGGTGTCACCTCCTCTGAAAAGTTGGGCACTCAGTTATGGATAGAGTGCCCAACAGTTGCACGAGATAGGAGGGATACCTTATGTCCCCTCCTTCCTTTGCTGGCATCCATCGCCAAGATGGCTGCAGGTAAGTGCATGTCACGTCCTCACACGCATGCGTGATGACATTGCACGTGTGTGTGATGATGTCACGCCTGTGCGTGATGACATCCCAGCAGGGTGTCATTCCTGGTGGCCACTCCGGGTAACACAATGCCTGGGGATGCCCCTGGCTCCTTGTACTGCTTCTTCCTTTCACACTCCAGCCCTGCTGTACTGGGACTTCAAGAGGCTAACAACAGTCATTTTCAGGCTCTTACACTGCTTGCTTTTAAAAAGCGGAGTGTCTTGAGTTCAGTTTTAACACCATGGCACCAAGTACCACGGTGTTCAGTTATGGAAAAAAATATATAAAAGGTCCATTGATGAATTAAACACAAAGCACCATCACGTGCAAGGTGCAAAAAAAAAGGAACGATGGTCGTCCACCGGACACAATGGGCTGCTGCATTTTGCATTCAGTCCTCATTAAATAAGCCTCAGAGCCTTCCATCAGCTCAACTTCCAGCTGCTTAGACCAGACTGACTGGTGAGAACTGATTTCTGAGTAGTTGGGTTGCTCCTAACCATTGTTCTATGCATGATGTTAAACAAGCCCACAGGTGCAGGATGGTCAAAAAGGATAAAAGGGATGGCTGGTGATATTTTGCATGTAGATTACACTCCTCGTTAGGTAACCAAGCACACTGGAGGATGCAATGTTTATAACAATGTATATAATAGATACCAACCCTACCGAGACCATAGGATCCAAGCAAACAAGTGTGGATTTGCTTATTAGATATTCCCTGCTTTCACATCACAATCCCAATGAGACGATGTGTTTTAGTTCAGACGTGCTGGGCACGGTGAGTCACAGCAGACTGGGCTGAACAGCTGCTGGGAATAAAATATTTTTTTCCCCATGCACATGTATAATAAATAAATAAATCACATACACACACTTTGCAAGCCTGTACAGACCTAAGGGGAAAAGGGAAGCCAAGATTGGCTGCCTAACTGTAACCATTGAGGGCAGCAGACAAATCCACTGGTGTCTTAGTTTTGATATAATATGGTAACAGCAGCAAACAGCCTCCCCAAAGGAATAATACAAATGTCATTTTCTGAAAGAATACACGACTTACCCATTTGATAAGCTATCGATCCAGCTTGTCTATGGGAATGTATGCTCTTCCATCACTCTATGCAGTTTTGTAAGTCACATGGAGCAGCCAGTAGGAAAAAAAAATACAATCTAGTTGCATTCAATGATGAGGAATTTTGTTTCCCCCCCTTTTAGTTCATCCAGCCAGTGAAGAATAAAATGATTCCCAAAATTAAAAAAAAAGAGAATGCAAGCAAAAGGACATCCGAATTAGAACAGCTTGCCCAACATTTGTCTTGGTGAGGGTGGTAGATCAATGCCTGGCTAGCAAATTGGAGAATCTATGGCACAGGCTCCTGCAGATGGCATGGCCACCTCCAACAGTGTGTTTAACAGACAGAAAATCCAAGGAATCTCCCATGCACTCGTACATCCAGCATTGCATCAGATTAACCAAGTCAGCATTTGCAGGGTAGGAAGGAGGAAGGGTGTGTAGAGGGGGGTCACTCACCAACCAGGTGCCACCCCTGCCCATTGCAGGGTTAATGGGCTTTCCATTGCTGAAACATCAAACCTTTTTTCTTTTTTTTTTCCTCCCTTCTTTCCCTCTCTTCCATCAGCCTTTGGCTCAGGCTGCATCCTATGCTACTGCATTTCCCCAGCTCTCCACGGCGCTACATAGAGCTTAAAGGATGGAGGGGAGTTGGAGAGAGGAGAGAAGGAGGGGGGTGATTGCAATGCCTGAATAGCAAAGTCTTTTAGAGGGTTGCAGATCCTGTTCCCAAAATGTGAAGAAGCCCCCAATGAATTCACAAGCGCTTCTTTCTAGCACAAGCAGCAGCTCTGGCGCTGGCTTCAGCAGGGACAGAGAGGAGGTGCTAAATCATTTAGGAGAAAAGGGAGGCTGTGCAAGAGACAGAGGTATGTGCTGTAGTCATTAGAGGTGCCACCAGATAACCCCCAGCATCATCTTCTCTGCTGGTCCTCCAGCAGCAAAATAATTGGCATGCCAAGGAGGGAATGAGAGGACAGGTTTCAGCACCAAGGACAGCGTCCAAGTCTGTATGGACCGGATAGATCCCTGTGTGGATGGAAGAAGCCACAGTCTGGCTCCTGGGACAACTACTAGTTTAGTGCAGGGAAGCAGTACTCACACATCCAGTGACCTCCCAGCTATGGAACTATTGGTAGCACAGATGTCGGAGAATGGCTTGCTGCATATGAGGTTCCTTACTCAGGCTGATTCCTCTTAAAGAACTTAAAGAACTTTTGGCATAATCATTCTTAACCCTTAAAGTGGGGCTACCCCTGCACAGCAAGGGTTAAAGCAGAACTATGGGGAAAACTACTATTAGCCCCGCAATGGGACTACCACCGCACTGTAAGGGTTAATTGCTCCTTTATGTGCTAAATAACTACTAGTAGCCCAGATATAAGAGAATGGCTTGTTACATTTGAGGATTCCTACCCAGGCTTTTTTTTGCTTTCTGCCAAATTCCCCATAAGCAGAAATTCAAGGGAAAACTACTATTAACCCCTGCAATGGGGCTGCCCCCTGCACTGCAAGGGTTAAAGCAGAACTCTGGGGCATAATTATACTTAACCCTTGAAGTGAGGATACCCCCACAATGCAAGGGTTAAGCACTCCTTTACGTGCTATAAAACTGTTAGTAGCCCAGATGTAAGACAATATCTTGTGGCATTTGAGGTTTCCTACCCAGGCTGTTTTTGCTTCCGACCAGGTTCCCCTTAAAGCAGAAATGCAAGGGGAAACTACCATTAACCCCTGAAATGGGGCTGCCCCCCACACTGCATTGGTTAAAGCAGAACTCTGGGGCATAATTATTCTTAATCCTTGCAATGGGGCTACCCCTGACCTGCAAGGGTTAAGTGCTCTTGTATGTGCTATATAACTATTAGTAGCCCAGATATAATGGAATGGCTTGTTGCATATGAGGCTTCCTACCCGAGCTCTTTCTGCTTCCTGCCAGATTCCCCTTAAAGAGTAACTCTGGGCATAATCATTCTTGACCCTTGAAGTGGGGCTACCCCTGCACTGCAAGGGTTAAGTGCTCCTTTATGTGCTATGTAGCTATTAGTAGCCCAGTTATAACAGAATGACTTGTTGCATATGAGGTTTCCTACCCAGGCTGTTTTTGCTTCATGCCATGTTCCCCAGAAATACAAGGGGAAACTACTATCAACCCCTGCAATGGGTCTACCCCCACACTGCAAGGATTAAAGCAGAACTCTGGGGCATAATTATTCTTAACCCTTGCAATGGGGTTACCCCCTGCACTGCAAGGGTTAAGTGCTCCTTTATGCGCTATGGAACAATTAGTAGCCCAGATGTAAGAGAATGGCTTGTTGCATATGAGGCTTCCTACCCAAGCTGTTTTTGCTTCCTGCCAGATTCCCCTTAAAGAGTAACTCTGGGCATAATCATCCTTAACCCTTAAAGTGGGGCTGCCCCTGCACTGCAAGGGTTAAGTGCTCCTTTATGTGGTGGGTGGCCATATGTGCAGACACCTTCTAGGTGCTTACTTTTCATGTATACATACAGATTATTATTCAGATTACAAGTCACAGTAACCCTTGCAGTACGGCTACCCCCACACTGTAAGGGTTAAGTGCTAATTTTGGTCTAGAGAGGAAAATAAAAAACTTAAACTCACCTGATCCTCCTGAGATGGCCGGCTGTGATAGTGCTTCCTTTCAGTCTTCTACTCCGCTGCAGCAATAGTATGTCCCTCAGTGTCCTCATGTCCTATACTATACACTGTATATAGGATGTAGGGACCGCTGTGGTATGTCTGGTTTGTTTGTTTTTAGTACTCCCTAGAATAGTTTATAAATACCTGTTGATCCTGCCAGTAGACACATTGGATAGCCACTTCCTTTGGTGTGACAACTTGCTTCCTTTTGTAATGAAATCTCTGCAACGTTGTCACCCTTGGAGCTGCTTAGATGCTGGCACCGTTAATAGCCCTATTAGTACATAGCGACACCTAGCTGCACCCACAGTCCTTCAGATTGAGGAGGTGCAGGCGCTTAGGGAAGTGATGCTCAGTCCTTCTCACCTCCTCCAGCACTGTTTAGCAGAGTGCAGGATTAATCCAGCTACCCAGCTACACTGACAAATACAAATCAGTTCATTGCTCACTCACTCTATATTCTCGATTAGTGACTCAAAAAAGTGTTGCAATCAGAGACACCAGACAGTATTTTTGAAGGAAGGTAGTGCTGTGTGCTTTATCTGACAAGTCTAGGTGCCTGTCCATGGCTGATTGAAACCAAGACAGCGGTTGTTTAGCAAGGATGCTGACTGTGCTGTCAGCAATACATAGTTAGTATATATAAACATTTAAACTATAATAATCAAAATAGGACACAGGAAGTAAAATTCATAGTAAAATATATTCAGGTAACGTATACAGTGCTACCTTGTGTGCCCCTCTGCATTATTTTTCACCTTCAAAGTGGACTTAACATCAGATATATTTTTTCATATTAAGTGCATGCTTATTAATGTGTTAGTATAACACTTCCAGGTATTGCAGGGATCACAGCACTCCCCCCTGACAATGCCTTCATCTGGTTTCCTCTCCAAAAGGATGGTACCAGCTTTGTTCAGGTGTCATTCAGGGTCACAAATCTGGACGAATCTGCTTTCATATATTCAGGTGAATAAGGACATGAGCATATCCACAACAGACCATACCTTTGTTATGGGGCTCAGAAGAACAAGGGTCCCGGAACTGTTGTCTACATCAGAATTTCTCAGCCTTTTTTCAGTCAGGGCACCTGACTGCAAAATCTCTAGACGCCCCATTCTACAACGAAAAAAAGTGAATGCAATGAAACAATGTATGATCTCCCCACCTCAAAATCAATACCAAACCCTTAAAGTGAATGTTAAAGTGGGAGCTCAGACGAAAACAAACAGACAAAAAAAGACAATGTGCACGTTCCCCCTTTACATCAGAGTCCCCCCTTTTACATTAGAAGTCCCCCCTGCTATACATCAGAGGCCCCCACCCTTTACATAAGGACCCCCCTTCACATCAGAGTCCCCCACGTTAGCAGAAATTTTAAGGCACCCCTGACAAAGACTTAAGGCACCCCAGGGTGCCATGGTACCCCGGTCGAGAAAAGCGGATCTACATAGTGGTCCATGTAGGCAGCAACTCAATATGTGGTGAAAAGTTTGTAGACACCAGCCCATCACACCTACTACATATGAGCTTCAAAGGCTTTCAATTCCAAAATCAGGTGAACAAATCCAGTCAATCTCCACTGACAGACTTTGGCATACAAAGGCATTTTAAGCAATGGTGCAATTTCAACCTGGTAAAGGAGAAGGTCCTTTTGGGTTCCAGCATAACTGTGCCAATGTGCACAAAGCCAGCACCATAAAACATGGTTAGATGAACTCATCAAGCTATGTCTTTATGTTTTGGGTTGGTTTATGGTCTGAGCTGGTGTGAAGGAACTTAGCAGATCTAGATCATCTTTTGAATGAATTGGAGTACTAGTTGCAAGCCAGGGCTTATCATCCAACATCAATACGTGACCTCATAAATGCTCTTTTTTACTCAATGGGCAAATATCCCTATAGGCACCCTCCAAAATGTGGAAACCTTTCCCAGAAAAGAGGAGGCTGTTATAGCAGTACATAGGGGACAACCCTATATCAATGTCCATGGTTTTGGAATGGGATGTCCACAAAGCTCATATAGTTGTGACGGTCAGATGTCGACAAAGATTTGGCTATATACAAATTGGATGAAATGTATGTATATTTATTTTGTTAACCTCTAACTCACGGTTTCTCAATCCGCGTAACCTCAGGACCCACATTTGTCCTTGGTCATTAAGTCGCAACCCAAGTCGCACTGCAATGGCATGCACAGCACTGCAGTATCGGACTGTGGGTGGGAGGTGCGTTTGGGGTGTCATTCAAATTAATGGCAATGTAACATACCTTCCACACCAGAACGCTCAGTAGGTTTGTGTGGTATGGTGCATGAATCGCATGAGACTGTTCGATTAACGCACTGTACTAGTGTGAACAGGCCCTCAAAAACACGGACAGACACACACAACCACAGACACAATCTCACACACTCCAAAAAATTATAATTCTTGTTCTTTTTTTAAGATCCACTCATTCTCCCTACCTTACAAGAATGGGAGTGCATCCTCAGCTTGGGGT